AAGCAATGATGTGATTGCAACGTGAGAGAATGCCTCAATTGATAGTTCATAGGTTGATGCTTTGGGACCAAAGTTGATGTCCCTGTTGATCCTCTAGTCGTTACTAACACAAAATCTCTTGAGCCGCAATATGTTAACCTAGTTTCAGGCATTCACCTAAAAGTTAAAAATAAAATGTAAACTTTTGCCCATTTAATCTTTTTTTTAAATAATTCTTTAATTTTATTTATTTTTAAAATTTACTATAGGGCACGTGCACTCATGGGGGAGGAGGAGAGGGATGGAGGAGAGAGAGAGAGAAGAGGGAGAAGAAAGCAAGCTGTAGGTCTAGGACTCGAACCATGGTCAGACATGTGGGACTCCAGCACCTTAACTACCATACCACTTTCTCACCCCACCCATTTACTCTTAACCAACGCATATTTTACTGTATTTACTGATAAAATGTTTCTACTGGAGGTGTTTAGTTTGTCTAAAACCCAGAAGATAACCATGATCTTATTCGTTCTTTAAAAATGGTATTAATTTAATATATCTCCCTAGTTGTTGCTGTAGAGAAAATACACAAAAAATGTTCACTTTTTTCATTTGTTTTTAATGTCAGCCCTAATGCCCAAACTTTTTAACTTACATTGAGGAGTGTTTCTCTGGAGGTTCACATTCTTTTCTGGAGCTTAGAACTCTTCCGTGTTGAAATGCAGAGATAAAGCAACGTAGGCACTCACCCTGCAATGGCTGGTGGCACATTTCTTTGCTGTAAGGCAGAATAGAAGCTAAAGCTTGAGAAATGTGGATGGAGGTGGTGGATGTTTTCATTTCAGCTTTTGCATATCCCTCAGTTTATCCACTCATATTATCAAGAATTGTTTATGTCGGGAACCAGCAGGTGGCATAGTGGCTAAGGTGCTGGACACTTCCACATGATCAACCACTTTTAAGTCCTAGACCTGGCGTCTTGCTTTCTCACTTTCTCTCTCTCTCTCTGCCTCTCTCTGGTCAAATTAAAATGAATGAATGAGTAGATAAAATTAAATTAATAGTTCTTTTTAAAAAATTGTTTATGTCATCAAAAGTTCACGAAAAATGTGTATTATAAAAAGCTATATATGGATTTCAAATTTTTTGCATCGAAACTCTTATATCCGTTTTTCTATGAACATTTTGAAGTCACTTCATATGCATTCTCTAGATCTATGTAGATTTTCACTCTTCTTGTTGATTAATTCGATATAGTACAAGTTATATTTGTAGTGCATCACCTCAACACAAAAACTTTGGTTGTTCATATTCACATTTGCGATGCCAAAATATGGCTCACATTTATGATTCCAGGGTATGGTTGTTGGATCACCGAGCTGTTTAATGATGTTTGGGTAGTGTCTAGAGTTAAAGGAGTACTAAATTCTTCTTAAAATAAAATTTATTTACTTCAGTTCTCTGCACATGAGAATATAAATTTTACCTCTGCATAAGTACGGTGTCACCTACATTATCATAGGGTAGTTTTGTCAACATACACTCTCTGTGGCTCTACTGATCTGGTTTAACTCGTAAAAGTCTGCTGAAAACTTCTCTGTTTTAGTACTTCCTCATGGAATTTATTTAGATGCAGTTATTTGGGGTACCACTGTCCAGTCTTCTAATTCAGGAAAATGAGACTGTCAGTGGAAACAATGAACTATGCCATGTTAAAATGAGTTCTGTGATCTTTTATGTATGTATATACATTCATTTGCTTTATCACTATTAAGTACAGCACAGAATGAAATTTTAAAAAATGTAAATTTATAAAATCCAAAAAAAAGAATGTTCTAATTTCCTAATATTCAAAATTGAAAATTCCTTTTCCGTATTTGCCTTGCTATTATGTAAAAAATGGAAATGTTCTTGCTGCTGTTGTTGTTTCTCAGAACTCAACATTTTTCCCTCATCTTTTTGTGTTTTTGTTTAAGTAGTCCATTATTATTAGTACTTCTGTAAGATGCTTTCCTATTTTTAGAACATAAGTATTGCCAACAAATTATTTTGAATGAGCTATATCGTCACCATGGAAATAATACTTCTCTAGAAATTCTAGTTAATAATTCTTAACTGTCGAAAGGTGTTTCTCTTTAATGTCTTTTGTTAGGTAATTTTAAAAGCTAGACTTCTTTTCAGAAGTAGCTATTAATATATCGTTTTGTCTGAAATGGTTTTCCACAGTTGTGCTTTCTTCTTATATGTAGGATTTGTTGTGCCAATGAGGTTTAGATATAGGGATGAGAAACAGATATTCTTGCCCAGTGATAATATGAAGGGTTTATGGAAAAAGATATGAGCAATTTAAAATGTAACATGTCATCCTAACCACTTATTGCAACTCTCTAGTCTTTATCTGTTTATATTACAAGGTTGCCCATGTTCTATACTACAGGAAATTTCAACTGATAGGATCTGATCTAATAGCTCTGTTCTTTCTGTATTAGCATAATGCTTTGAAAGCAATTCCTCTAAAATCAGACCATTTGGATTTTAATCTTGGTTCTACTATTTTTCTTCCTTTTTTTTGGTCAGAGAAGAGACGTGCATTCTTGAGAGAGAAAGCACCTCCCAGTTGGACATGGACACTCTAGTGTCCTTTTTCCTCCATTCATCCTGTCAGGATTAGGGGCACATACACACACCCATCATGTCTCCCAGGACTGGGACTCAGAACTGCAATCATCATGTGGGATTCAGCTCCCAGTGCACAGACCACTTAGCCACTGTTCTCTGGAGATCAGCCCTACCTCAGATTTCTGTATTATATTGTGCAATTAATATATTTCTCTATGACTCAATTTTTTTAATCTTTGAAATGAGAATGTTAATACTTCTGATGATTATTGTAAGGACTAGATGACTTAATAGGAAGTGCTAGAATGGTGCCTTGAACATTAAAGAGCTATGCTTTGTGGAATTTTTCTCTTTGTCGGACTTCACTTATAAATAAGAGAAGGCTACCTCATTCTGTAATTTATTTGACAGAATATAAACCCCTTTACTTCACTATGCAATTTGACAAGCGTGTTTATGTCACAGGGGGAAATAACAAGAAATAAGCTATTGTAATAATTTGTTTTGTGGAAATTTTCAGGGTGTATTTTTTTTAATAATTACTTTTTTATTTAATTTTATTTATTCATTCATTTATTCTTAATTTGAGCAGAGAAAGACACAGAGAGAGATAGAAAGAGAGAGGGAAACCGAGAAAGCAAGCCACCAGGCCCAGGACTCAAACCGTGGTCAGCCATGTGGGAGTGTCCAGCACCTTAGCCACTATGCCACCTGCTGGTCCCTTCAGGGTGTATTTTAAGGATGTAGAGTCAGTATTGATGGATGACCTTGTTTTATCTACAGGAAATAAATTGTATCTATTAATTGTTGGGAAAGTCTTAATGTAGTTTTCTGTTTCCTATGTAAAAATGTTTAAGAACATTTAACATGGCACAGTCCAGTCTGTTTCCATGACTTTCCTGACAACTCAATAGTATATAATTCGCCAAAACCTAAAATAATCATTAATTAAAAATATATACATATATCTTAGAACTAAAATGACTGTATTACAGTCATGATAATTTCTCTGTATAATTTATTCTTGATCATCGTTCATTTCCTCGCTTGATGACAGGCCATATTGTATCTCTAACTCTTTATTCTTGACTAGAGTTGAACCATAAAATAGTACTAATACATGAAAAAACCCACAACTTTAATGTAAGAAATTGAAGGAGAGTAGAAAAGATGCTGCTTTTATTTTTGGCATTATGTTTGTAGGATTTTCTTTGTGTTTTTTTGAGAAAGGACAAAAATATCAAGTCTCACATGAGTAGAATTGGGCCTAAGCAGAAAAGTTTAGCAACTACTGTGCTGTCTATGTGAAACAGAGTGCTATTAATATTGTGGCTTCTATTGTAATGTTTTAAAGTACAATTCATCAATCAAACACATCAGAATGTTAAGACTCTCCAAGAGTTTAAAAATTAGTTTTATATTTGTTACTTGAAACAACCAAGCATTCAAGAGGCCTGGTCAGAAAATTGGCATAACCAAACATTGGCCTGCTATGTATCTATGATAAAGGTGAGGTAGCTGTACATATTCACATATAGAAAAAGCTCTACAATACATTATTAAATGACACAAAGAAGGTGTATGTATAATGTAACCTTACGTTTTAAAAGTAAAATTAAGGGACCAGCAGATGCTGTAATGGTTACATTACTGGGCTCATTCAAGTCCCGGATCTGTGGCTTAAAACTCACACCGGGCACATGTGTGTGCGTGTCTAGAATCCTGACAGGAAAATGGAGGAGAAGGGATTGCAGAATCCTAAGAGGAGAATGAAGGAGAAGGGATTGCAGTGTGCCCATCCCCCCGGGGGGTGATTTCTTGCTTTCTGTCTCTCCATCTCTCTGGCGAGCGCATGTGCCCTATAGCAAAAACCTCTCTTTAAAAAGAAAAAAAGAAAGAAAATTAAAAGCCTATGTGTGTAAATATTTTTCTAGAAGGATACATAAGAACTCTAACGGCTTTTCTTTTTATGTATTTATTGAAATTTTAATCATATATATTTATTCCTTTAATTAAAATACATAATTATTAAACGTATGTATGGGGACCAGCAAGTGGTGTGATAGTTAAAGGCACTGGACTCCAACGTGACCAACTATGGTTCGAGTCCTGGACCTGGCAGCTTACTTTCTTGCTTCCTCTCTCTGTCTCTCTGTGACTCTTTCTGGTGAGGGCACATGCCCTATACCAAATTTAAAAAAAATAATTAAATAAAATTAAATAAATCGAAAAAAAACTATGTGTGTAAAGATTGGAACAAAATCTTTTAAATCTTAAATCTATATTTTGTCCTCGGAAATGTTAAAAACAGCAGCAAGAATCTGTTGCTTATTTTCCTTGTTGTGGGTAATGGTATGGCTCTTAAATTCAGATAACTTGGTTAAAACAATGTTACTTTTTCCTAGGATTTCCACTTAAACAGGGTTAATCTGGAAGAGTCTTCAGTAGTGGAAAATTCTCCAGCTGGTGCTAGACCAAAGAGAAAAAATAAGAAGTCTTACGATTTAACTCCAGTTGATAAATTTTGGCAGAAACATAAAGGAAGGTAAGTAAGAAAAATATCAGTAAGTAAAGGATTCATTCCTGGGGCCAGCAGGTGGCATGGTGGTTAAGGCACTGATTCCCACATGGCCAACCATGGTTCATGTGTTGGACCTGATGGTTTGCTTTCTTACTTTCTCTCTCTGTCTCTCTCTCATCAAATTAAAAATAATGATAGATAGTATATTCAAAATAATAATACACTTTCATTGTCTATATTTCAGAATTCACAGAAAATCAACCTTTTAATGTCACACTCATAGTTTGTCTTGTGCAATCTTGTTTTAGTCCATTCCCAGAAGTTGCAGAATCAGTCCAGCAAGAACTAGAATCTTACAGAGCACAGGAAGATGAGGTCAAACGACTTAAAAGCATTATGGTAAGATTCTGTTTGCTTTCTAAGAATTAAGGGAAGAGGAAAGGCAGACACCTGAAGGGATAAAGAGGTTTACTTTTCATTTCTAAGAAATCAGGGCTATTTATAACAAATAGTCTCAATCTTTATAACTAATCTTTTTAAAAAGAAATCTAAATATTAAAAATAGAAAATTCCTTTTATAAAATATGAATTTAAAAAATTAATATAAAGTAGCTTTAAGAGATATATTTTCTAATGCTGCTCACTCTGTCCTACTTTGATGTAACTTCATATATCAGCTCTAATATTTATTACCATTTGACCTATGGCAAGTTTTTGGGCCTATTTTGTTACCTGAATTACCAGCTCACTGATTTACTCATCCAACCATGTAGAAAATTGATGGTGACTAGAACTTTGCAAAACTGTACAAAACAAATATGCCTGCTCCTCAGAGGAAAAATGTTATTCTAGGTGACCTAATGTTTTTGTTTATCAACAGTCCTAAGAAATGTTGATTTTTATGCTTGGGCCTGAGATTTTTCTGTAGTTAGTAGGACCTTTTTATTTTCTTCCAGGGACTAGAAGGAGAAGATGAAGGAGCCATCAGTATGCTTTCTGACAATACTGCTAAGCTAACTTCAGCTGTTAGGTAAGTAAGCAATACCTCTTTCTTGAAGTCATTCTGTTGATAAGATTTATTTTGGACGTTAAGAAATGATTCATGTTTTTAGTAATAGGAAATATTAGGTAATAACAAATATACCCTTTCATTTAAAGAATAAATTGTGTTCTTTAACTTGATTAAGTTGATCTTAGTTCCTTCTTACATAGCAAATCATCTGTTGCTTTCACTTATTACAAATGCATATTGGGATAATTTTACTGTGAAAGTAGTATTAGTGATAAGGTAAATGAGTTATTAATTTCATTATCACTGCTATTATTTTCATAACTAAAAAGCTAAGCAGTTTTTTGATCCTTCAAATACCAACAAAGAGGAGGTGGGGACATGTTTAGAAATACAGGTGAAAGCATGTTTCCGTTAATCTGATTTTATTCTGAACTATGGGATCAGAAGGCAAAGTGATAGAAACAATGATAATGTGGGACCCAGATTATTTTAAAATAAATAGATGTTTCCTCAGAAGAAACACCCAGAGGATGGGTTTTAGTAAAGTCTGTATCATTTTCTTAGAAAAGTTAGTGGTTAATATTTAATTTTTTGGTACTCATAGCTCTCTACCAGAACTTCTTGAAAAAAAAAGACTTATTGATCTCCATACAAATGTTGCTACTGCTGTTTTAGAACACATAAAGGTAAATTTAACTTTTTCTCTCCTGTGATAACGGCTTATAAGGTGTTTTTTTCCTTCATTATCTCATTGAACCCTCATGCTAACATTATGAAAATATAGAGGCAGTAGTAGTATGTTCACTTTTTTTTTTTTTTTTTTTTTTTGCAAATAAGATAGCTTAAGAATCTGGAAGGAAATGTGATTTGCTCAAGGTCACTTATTTAGTAAATAATAGTTGAAATCTGTGATATTTCTGTTAGGTTGCACTGCCTCAATACCATCTCTACGAGTTATTTTGTTAATAGTAAATATGTATCTAACCATCAGCAATATAGATTTAGAAATCCCTTTTACTATAGTGGTATCTAAAATATCCATTAATTGGGGCCAGTAGGTGGTGTGGTGGTTAAGGTGCTGGATTCTCACATAGCTAACTGTGATTCAAGTCCCAGGCCTTGTGGCTTGAAAAGCACACGGGGTACGTTTGTGTGTTTGCCCAAAATTCCAAGAGGAGAATGTATTTCGGTGTGGCCATCCCCCCTAAAAGGTGATTTTTCATTTTTTTCCTCTGTCTGTCTGTGTCTCTAGTAAGCACACATGCCCTATGGCAAAAACATAAAAAATAAATATGATCTATTAAGAATATGACTTTATGTTACTTGGGTCTGGACTTCAGCTTCCAATGAGTCTATTAATATTAAAGCTTATTACTTATTGAATTGTGACTTTGAAACGAATATATTGGGGCTTCTATACATTGTTATCACAATTCTTTTCCTCATGCCTTATTCATGATTATTTTATACGAGATTATTTAATCAGTCCTTCATTATTCTACTTTCATTTGTGCTCTGGAAGGACCTGAATTCTAATGGCCAGTTGACCATATGCTAAGACCAACTCCTACTTTACATTTGATATGATACATTTGAAATACTAAAAAATTGATTGTACTGCTGCCCATCAAAGATTGTTGATAACTTCTTAGATTCATGGAGAAATTACTTAATTTTTTTTTTAATGGTTTAAAAAGTCATAGCACATGAGATGAGCCAATATAGCTAAATAATGGACATTATGCAGCATGGAATTTCATTTCTGTTAAGATGACAGCTTTTTTTTTTTTTCATCACACATTCTGATATTGATACTTGTTATTTTCATTTATATATAGGAATAGAAACGTAATTGTACAGTCTATGGATGATTCTGCTGGTGAT